GCGTGGGCCCCTCTGGCTCCAGTGCTTTTGGAGGCTTTTTCCAGGCCTCAGTTTCAGGGAGGAATTTAATTAGCTCCTGGGGTGCGGATTAGTAATAGCCCAGCAAGCAACATTGCTGCGGTTGGTCTGAGTCAGGGATTGCCCAGCAGCCAGCCTCCGATGAAGTCTGGACCTTGCTTCTCCCCTGCGCGCAATTCAGGGCCCACGGAGCGGCTGTAGCGGGCGCACTCTCGCAGCCCCAATGACCCCGGGCCGTGGGGGACAGGTAGGGACTTCAGGAGTGAGAAGCAGTCCAGAGTGCTTTGCTGTTCCAGCCCCACCGTTCTCCCTCTTCCCCGTCAGTCCTCAGAGGAGTAAGGATTTGGAGGAATAAGGAACCCTAGAGGAATTTAAAAGAGACTATTATTTTTTAAAAAGAGGGCCCCTTTCCCCGCCTTTCAGATGCGAGGGAGTGGTCTGGACAGCTGGAACCTTGGGTAGCTGAACTAGCTGAACCCAATCTTTCTGCCCGCGCGGAGCCCGCCCGCCAGGCGTGCTGAGACGCGGTGCCTGGTGCTCTCCGCGTAGGCGGCTGGCTAGTGAACTGCGCGGATGGGGTAGCCATCACCCTTCCAAAGAAGCTGGGAGCTCACTTGGCTGCTAGTGGGTGGTCGATCCTTTTTCTGAAGTCGGGACCACTAGGATTCTGGTCGCCGTGGACCGCTTGCGTGCTCAGGCTGTGGGGCCACCAGTCTGCGCCCAGCTGCATGACTTTGGCAAACCCCCTAGCTAGGCCTTAGTCTGCGCATCAGTATAAAGACAGAAAGGAATCTAGACATTTCCAAGAGTCTCTCCTGCTTTGGGGTTCCGGCCGTCATTTGCTTCCAGACTGAGGAGCCCGCAGGTTCTTTTGCCTGGGGCAGTGAGTCCTGGCTGTGGCCTGTGGTGCCGGATTCCCGAATGCCGGCTCCTGACACGCTAGGCCTGCGGCTGGGGTGGAGGCGAAGGAGATGCCTGTGCATCCAGAATCTCAAGCTTACCCCAGAGATGAACACCGAGGGGAGCTAATAGCCCCCAGGGGGAAGGAGAAGGGGAGGCTCTCCCCTGAGTATGTTGGCTGCAGCGGGCCTCGGTGGAGGGTCTTTGCCTCCCCAGAGATCTGAACCTGGCTTTGGAGATCCTTCCCAGCCTGGCACAGCCTCATCTTCTTCCACCTGCTGACCTTTCCCGGGATTCCCACCATGTGAGGAGCCCGTGGTGCATTCCTGTCTCCAAGCCTCTGCACCTGCTGTTCCTCCACTTGAAGCTGAAGTGCCCTTTTTCTTCTCCACTTTCCCAAATCCTAACCTTCTGGGGATCTGAGAAGTCCAGGCTCCCTCCTGGGAAGCATCTTGTCCACGCAGCACGGGGCACTGCTTCTCAAGGTTCACCACCCTCATCACCCTCCAGCCAGGCCTGCTTGGCATGGGAGGGAGATGTGTGGGGCTGGCCTTGGGAGTGCTATGCTGGAACTTCTGTCCAGAGAGCCCCAGAAAGATGTGGGGTGCCCCAGCCCACACTGCCTCATCCTCAGCCGGGGTGTCTTGTTAGCCTGGATGGGGATGAGGACAGCGCTTCCCACAGAAGGACCTGGAGCTTCAGGGCAGCTGTGACCTCTTCCAGGGGCAGGTGAGCCCACTTTCCTCTGAAATTGAGCTCCAGCTGGGAGGGAACCAGACTTCTGTTGGTATGTTGGGGGTGACAGGGAATGTGAAGAAAGGGGTTGCAGCTCCGTAGGCACTCCGTCCCTGCTCTGGGGCCAGCGGGGGGTGGGTGGAGATTCTAAAACTTACACCTCAAAGTTATTTCCTTAAATGCTTAGAATTCTTCACTCTTTGGGTCTGGGCCCACCTTCTGCTTTCATCAAAAATAACCCCCATCAGAATGGCCTTGCAAGGGTCCCAGGACCACCCTCTCATTCAGCCTCACCCTCATTCTGTCTGAAAGGCCTCTCCCTAGGCTGGTTTACATCCTCCTCCCCTCCTCCAATATTAAATGTCACCTCCTCCAGGAAGCCTTCCACACCCAAATAGGCAGAATCATCACCCCTTCTGGTCTCTCTCTTTGGAGGTCTAGATGACCTTTCTTACCACACCCACTTGCCTCCCCAATCCAGTTCCCTGGGGGCAGGCCAGCGTTTTAGTCAGCCCAGCGTCCAGCACCGGGCCTGGCCCA